GATTTCCAGCCCTCATCATGGAGGGTGGCTAAAGCTTGACTATGTGGTAACTGTTCGTCCAAAGCTTTCAGAGGATATCGCTGACAGGTGTTCCTTGTTTCCAATGCTGTCTCGACCTGGGTTCGAATGAGTAGAAGCAATATAAAAAGGAGACGAGGCATTCTCACCGGTATATTGTTGTTGCATTTGCACGCAATCTAGGTGGCAAGGTGTATGGATGTACAACGTTGTGCGGAGCTCATTATGACGCGCCATAATGTGCTTGAGCCTTTAACGGTTGTCGATTCTTGAAAGTTTTATATATTAGCTTTCTCAGGCTGATACCGCAAAAGCCCAACCGCCTCTTGGATCCCAGCTGGCACGACATGGACAACGACCAGCTCGTGGCTCATGTGTTTCATCCTAAGCATGGCCGATGAACCCTCGGCAATCACTTACTTTGGCCTGTCTTTGCTGTGATCAGTGCGCGTGTTGGCCTGCGAGACTTTGTACTGCTGCCTCTACCGCCAGTACCCGCCAAAAAGAAACATGGAGCTCCCTTGATCTATCCCGACTACCATGATATGCCTGCCTTATCTTTTGCTGTCAAGCGCTATGCTATGCTAGTTGGCACTGAGTCGGATGCGAAGTTGCCGTCTCCCGTCTGGAAAGGGGTGGAGAATCATGCTACATCGAGTCAAGAAGACCAGCTCTAGCGATTTGTCATTTATCCATTTGGCCCTGTCTATGTGTTCACTCTACACCCGCTAAAGAAATAATTTGGTTATGGTGTCAATTGTGCTACTCAAATCTGTGACTATCTAAAATATTGGTCTCCTCTATGCTTGCGGGCCAGAAAATGAAATACTTCCATTAGGGGACTCTTCACTAACATTTTCAATGTTAATGTCTAATGTATCAATGCCCGAGATCTTCGTTTAAATAATCGCTTAAGGGTGCTAATATCCCTTCGTCATCTATCATACCTTGTCAATTAAGCGAGGGCGGTTCGTGGCTGTCAAAATGCTGGGCAATAGCTTCATGAAAGGACTCATAAAGGTGTTGTGGTCCGCCTCCTGGTGGTGTTCTCTGGTATAGTTTGAGTAGCCTGGGTACCTACTCCACTTGGGAAGGAGACACCAAAGACCATATTTCGCGCGGAGAAATGTGAACGGATGATGGAGGTATGTCTGAATAACCCAGGGTTTTTGAGACGTTCCCCTGGGTGGGTATTCACGGATGAGGGTTGACTTGGGGTGAAGAAAAAGCCGCCATAACTTCGCAGTAGTACTTGCAAATGAAATCTGAGGCATGAGTATTCTCCTTGTAAATTGAGTCATCTTTTCTGTACTTTTCTTTGATAATGTGTCATAGCTAGATAGCTGCATACGCAATTAAAATCTGATGCAAAAAAAAAAAAGAAAGGACTCATAGGGAATAAATTGTCATAGCTAGATAGCTGAATACAATATAATTCAAAAAAAAAGAAAGGACTCATTACTGATAACCCCTCTTACCGACAACTGGACTACGTCTTGAGCCAAAATTTAAATTCCGAAGCATTTGGAAAAATAAATCAGCTGCCAGAGCAGACTTGTATGTACCTTAGAGCATCACTACACTTTCTATCTATCTGAAGCCCTTTACAAATTGACTTTGAGAGAGGACGTTACAAAAGATTTGCTCGAAAGGAGTAAGCATAAAGGAGCCGAGAGCATTACTTATATATGTTGTAGCTTTTGAAGTATTGAAGTTCGTGCAACATGGAAATTCTTCTGTAAAATCGAGCTGGATGTTGAGATATTAGAAATATCATAGTTGATGTGTATAATTCAGCTATCTTCAAAAATGTCGGGAAAATATTGCTTCCCTTTCCAGCAAAAAAAAGTTTCAATTAATCTAAGTAGTGTTGACATTTCTATCTTTTATCGTACAAGTGTAACTCGTTGATATTCAGGATTGCGATGGATAACAGAGATTGATGGTAGTAATGGCAGTGTGGGGTCTGGTAACTGTGGACAGGGATATGACACGTTTATATCTATATATCGCGCACTTGACTCCTCTTCATTATGATGATGCTTCCGACTACATTCACAATGCCAATATCTACTTTAAGCTAATCACCCCTTTCTATTTTGGTCCTATCGTCTAATTACTGTCTTTCGCCCTTTTATCCTAAATGAAATGTCATGATATTCTTCGTCTTGCTGGCCATCATCAAGCTCAGAATCATGGACAGATTAAATCTTTGACAGGTAATTTTCGACATGTGAAAGAGGGCTATTCTATTTGTCGGCGTGGAGTATGAGAGCAAATTACTCCTTTACTCTACGTCAGGTATAATCTCCGTCTAACGAGATTCTCTTAAACAAATCCTTGAAGGAGAAGATTACTAATCATTATCTAATTTCAGCATGTAATTCTCGACCTCGGCTCTGCAAACTCCTAGAAAAGAATCAGAAGTCCAAATGAAATGTTATCTAGAGGTAATTATTTTTGATTACCCTTTAATTGTGAGAAATATACGATCAAGGGTCTCTTCTTTACCCATTTTTAACCACGTGTAATTTTCGATATCCCGGATACAAAAAATGACTCGCCCGTCGCAGCTGGGAGGCAGCTTTAGGTCAGACTCTTATCTCAAATACACTTCGATCTGTGCTTGTCTCTTCTTTCATGACCATTCGGATGATTTGGAGAAAGCTTTCACTGCGCGGTTGGCTTTTTCGTCTGAAAGAGGGCGCCATGACAACCAAGTTTGACCCATAGCGCCATGACAATCAAACAACGCACGCGCGCCTTCCCATGATGGTCGAGACTATCCTCTTGGAAGATTACTTGCGTCACACTGGTTTCTCAAGTCTCAAACATCCAGTCTCGAGTCTCGATCCCTCCTATCTCTCCTGTCTCTCATTTATCTCCTGCTTGTCGGTCATCACTTCATGGCCCAGGATTGTGGTTGCGGGGTCTGGACGAACAGACGAATTGTGGAGGTAGTGGAGGTAGTGGAGCTGGCCCGTACATTTGGCCAGTGGCGATGGGACGAAGACAACGTCGATCTCTGTTTCAAGGGGATCAGGAGACCCGTTTTCGCCGTATCAAGGTCTGCATTAATCTTGTCCTCAGCCTCGTGAGACAGCCTTGGGGACAGCCTTGGTGTTCAGCCTTGAGATTCAGCCCTAATTCTTTCCGTCATGGCCTCCAGTGCAACACAGAGATTGGATAGACAGCGCATGAGGACGGATGAAAGAAAGTCTATGACCAATTTCCGTCGGATTCTGGTTTTGATTCCTGTCAAATTTTACTGAAATAACAGTCATGTGGTAGTCGAATCACCTGAACCTGTCAATGCTGGACCTCCTTGATACATCCCAGTCCCCAAATTCATCTCATTCAATACCCATTCAATACCCATTCAATACCCATTCAATACCCATTCAATACCCATTCAATATCCAAGCAAGCAAACAAGCAAACAATCAGCTATCAATTATGATATACTCCCGCTTGGTCATGCTCCTTGTCGACGTGTGGCTTGTGATAGGGATGTATCGTTCTAATTCCCACGCAAAGACAAAGGCAAAAGTAGAAGTCAACCCCTGCAAAAGCTCTACTTCTTTTCCCAAACTCGCATCTAGAGTCTCGTCTGTACCAAGGCTTTTGTCTTCAAAACAGCAAAGACTGTGCTTGTGGGGATCACTAGGGAGTGTCGCAGATGGAAACTAGTGTTCAAGAGAATGGGGGTGCTACCGCGGCTATGGCTACGGCTACGGCTACAGCTGCAGCAGCGGCAGCGGATAATGAGAAGGAAATCCGGATTGAGGTTAGATCGAAGGTAAAGTCACTTGGACGACTACTGTCTGACTTGTATATTCCAGACGTCAACGTCCACGCCCACGTCCGGGTCTACGGGTACGAGGAAGTTGGACGGACGACTCGATCTCGCGAGCCTTGTTCGTGATAGAGCAGCTTCTTGTCATTGGTTAGTCATCGGACTGTCGCTGTCCCATCAGTTTAATGACGGCCCTGAATCGTAGACAACTTGACCAGTCCAAGAACTTCGTCGGTTGGCAGCGACCCGTGCACGGATCAGCGGTCCGACATCCGCCGAAGATTGTGTAGAGGACAGAGAATCAGTGGAACTACGACATGACGCTAGCGCTCCCCGAAGTCTCCTCAAGTTGCCAGAGAATCCTGGATGGCAGACGGGTTGGCGGCATGGTGGCATGGCGGTCCAAACGCAAGATAAAATCCCGACCTGGCTATTCGTGGTGGCCGAGACAAGACGAGGTTAGAGGAACATGGGGAAAGGGTGCATGCGGCGACGGACGAGGCGTTATGAGCGATAACAGCAGAGAAAGCATCATAGACGCAGCGTGGAGATGTGGTTGTATCGCTGTGCTCCAACATTCCGGCTGCAGAAAAGGAATACCCTCTAGTATGTTGGTACAGAATGAACTTGAAGAAGCGCTAGAAACTTCTAATGGGTACCTTAACATGCCCTTTCGATTTATGCGCAGGGCGAACCGCGATAGGGACCCATAAATTTGAAGTTCCTTTCACCCTAACATTGGGGTAAGCACTAACTCATAGTCCGGCACTGATTATTATCCTGCATAGAAGTCAGCCATGGAATATCCCTCTTCACTGCATGTTAGCTCGGCTGTCCCTTCCTATTAAGGACCTTGCTCCGTCGAGGCTTCCAGGGGTCCTCCGGGTATGTAATTTTCTAGTCATCGTCATTTTGCCTAACGAATCTAGGTCGCGACAAACACACTTAGCTTGCCCCCTATATAACCACATGTCCACCAACATCACTAATTGCATCGACCACCCGGCCGCGTCCAAAGGAATACTCTACTTTTAATAATAAACTGAAGATCATCACGACTGCAATTAATTTTCAAACAAGAGACAACATCACTTTCGTTATTATTCAAATTTGCCCCCACATTCTTTTCGACAATTTTTCATGCCAACCTCAAATTAATACCTGTCTACCTTTTAGCTCCGTCATAATGCTCGGCACAACAGAGTTTCCAACCTCGCAAGTCAGTCCTTTAACAGTTCGAAAGATACGATCCTCCAAGAGCTCTATTAATCTTTCCCTTCCACAATTACCACTACGTATCCCCACTCCTGAAGGTTCATCATCAACAGATGGCGCCCCTCACATCTCATACCTCGAGGGCTACTCGCCACCAACAACGCCTGCACTACTTGCTCGCTCTGCCTCATATACCTCAACTCGCAGGTTGGCTCAGCCAGAACTCCCAAAATCTAAATCGAGCACACACCTTCTAGCTGTCCGACAACTGCGGTCGGGTACCTCTACGCCCGGTCGAAGGAAGCTGCGACGAAGCACACGAAGGCTCGAGACAAGTCCAACACCGCCTTTCTTTTCCGACGATCAAAATGATCCTGCTTGGATCCTTCGAACAGGCGCCTCCATGGCCAGCTCAGCTCGGGAATCAAAGGGACAAGCATGGCTCGTCTCACGGGCAAGCTCTACAAGCATGACAAGACTTCGGGACGATGAATATGAAGAATATGAAAATGAATACGCGTGGAGTCAAAGACACCAAAGTCAACGTGCGAGCTTGAGGGGAAGCGTGATGGGAGAGATGGATCGTGAAGTCTCTCTAGCTGCTATGAAACATCTCAATCTCAGACTAACATCGGGTCATGCGAGTCGCTCGGCTAGTCGCTTTGGAAGCAGATGCCCGAGTCGAAATCAGCTACCCCACACACCTCCTATGACGGCCGAATTTGATGCATACTTTGACTACAAAGACTTTACGCGCGATGATTTCTCTGGAGCAGAGCCAGACTTTGTGAATGTTGACGAGACCTTTGATGATGAGACGGACAGAGAAGACGAGGCAGAAATCAAGCGGCTGACGCGAGCCAATACACAAGGAGTCGGAGGATGGGTAAAGAAGATGCTAGGATGGAGATCATTTCCGACGGAAGAAGAGAGTGAAGAAATAGATGATGAGTTATTCATGGATAACATGGATGACGTGGAAAACATGGAGCATATGGAATATACGGAAAAGATCTATGAAGTAGCAAAGTGCACGCTCGACCTTGAAGTACCAGCTCCGCCCAAAGACAGCGAGGCGAGCGTATGGCAAGATACCGTCTGGTTCCTACGAATGGCTACAAACGTATTACTCTGAATTTTTTCAAAATAGAGATGATACAACAAGCTCAATGAAGACCATGTCTGAATAACTCTAATTAATTTTACCAGCAATTTGGAAGCTGGGAATTAGATTGTTAGCAACTGACATTATGACAGAAACTTCCAAACTGGATGAAGGCTTCAAGACTGGGTTACGTATTCAATTTGTGGCAAGTCTACAGGAGCACATAGTAATTTTTTAAGGCTGTTCGGGACAAGGCGTAGGATAGCTGCGGATACCCTTCATTTGTAATATTAATTTTTTTCTTATTGAAATTGACTTTGAGATATTTTATCGAGGTTCACACCAATCCAAATTAGACAATCAAATTTGCATCAGTTTATCCTTATTCAGTTCTCTTGTCCCTAGAATCAATCAGGTAGGGGATTTATGATTTTGCAAGATAATTCGCTGGGACAAATCACGATGGAAACGAGCTTATCGTCCTTATCGAATGAAAAAGAAATAGTGAAGCTTGGTAACAGTGAACTTGTTCTACATAAACGCCGTCATATTTTCGGGACTGAGGTATAAATTCTCTTCAAGTATCTTACAATCACCGAAATGAAAGATGCGAAGAATTTTAAGCTTGTCGAGGTCAATATCCTTAATTAGACGACGGATATGCCCACATAAATTTGACGTCTCAACCGGAGTAGCTCAAGAATACTCATGTATAATATGGGCAATCTTATTTAGAATGATGATTCACAACGTTGCGCTTGGCTGTTTGTAGAATACTGTGGTATTTTTACAAATAAAGCAGTAAGCCGCGTCTAGCTCAAGTGTAGCCTCTTTAATGCTGTCTAATCTGTAGTAGGGCTTCCTCGTCATGCGTATTACATGACCACTTTCCGTCTTGTATGATATTCAGATGCTGGATTCCATCTCGACCGAGTTATTCATACGTCCTAGTGTGCTGAATAGCCTATCACTGGTCATGATGCTGGAGGAAGGGGATAGGGTCCGTAAGAATTTACGGATTTATATCGCTCAGCTAACCAATTAATCTAACGGCATCAACATATAAGCTTTCCGCCCACAACCTAACAAATTCGTTGATAGTTATGAATCAACATTAGAAATAGGATTGGACCGAGTACTGGTGTCGATGGTGGTTGCGCCCCGGGCCTAGCAGCTCTTGGTCGATTGATGCCACTTCACAACGAACAACGGCCATTGTTTCACTGGCTGCAGAGAGGATTTCACGACGGGATACCGGCATCTCCGTGCGTGTAGGCGCATGAAGATCTGTGGGGGTATTACCGCCGGACGGCGGCTGTGAGGGGGGCAAAGGAGGACTCCACATCCCGAGACGTGAAAGATCTTCACGTCCCAATATCGGCATACAGTCAGGAAAGCGATGAATCATCATCTTTGCTATGCCTCATCCTTTGTAGGTGCGCTAGAATTAATGGCCTTATGAAGGACTAGTTCTACCGATGAGACATTAGTCATATGTGTGCGTGATCACGCCTCGGCCTCAGGCCAAATAATACGCGTAAGCCGAGCGTGGTATCGTGATGACTAGACGCGTCATCTGGTCTTCTTGACTCGATGTAGCATGATTCTCTACCCCTTTCCAGACGGGAGACGGCAACTTCGCACCCGACTCAGTGCCAACTAGCATAGCATAGCGCTTGACAGCAAAAGATAAGGCAGGCATATCATGGTAGTCGGGATAGATCAAGGGAGCTCCATGTTTCTTTTTGGCGGGTACTGGCGGTAGAGGCAGCAGTACAAAGTCTCGCAGGCCAACACGCGCACTGATCACAGCAAAGACAGGCCAAAGTAAGTGATTGCCGAGGGTTCATCGGCCATGCTTAGGATGAAACACATGAGCCACGAGCTGGTCGTTGTCCATGTCGTGCCAGCTGGGATCCAAGAGGCGACCGATCTCGCGGCGCATGACACAATTCTCATTCGACACAAGGAAGCGACCGCAGCGAGCATGCCAAAGGCTTGAAATAAGTGGAATCACGGAAAGTCTACCAAGCAGGATTATCTTTGGCGACCTGAGCAATTTCAGGCAGATGACATGAACGCGGCCGGGGACGACGGAGGTTTCGTGGGCACTGGCAGTCCAGCTAGGCCGGAGGTATGGGGTTTACGGTTAGATGAGGACAAGCGATATTTAATCTCCCCAACCGTCCATGATGTTCGCGAGCGAGTAAGCTAGATATGTAATCTCCAACTGCTCACTTACCGTGGCGAAAATGTCGGGCCCGCTGAAAATTCAAAAGCAAATCCGTCGTCCTGCCGAGAAACTCGTGGCTCCGAATCGACGTTCGCAAGGTTATTCAGGCACGCCCGGCGGAAATGCCCAATATCGTAGAGGCGAAGAAATTACACGGCCTCTTCCTCATTCGGGCCACAATCATTCCTGCCCCAACGAGTTGCAAATTATCGACCAGATTAGGGGGGGGGAGGGCGCTTAATCTTTGGATTATCTTGTAATTTAATAGACCATGTAAGAGCAATACCCTAGCATTCCTTTGGAGCTTTGCACGACTAGAGCGGGCCTGTATCGGATTGATTGCCATACATACTATCCTAATCCATTTTTTCACGGCCCCATCGCGAGTCTATGAGCTTACTTGACGTCTGGGCTGGTAGATTTGTCCAGTGTTTATTGTGATACTCGACCCAATGATCATCCAGCACATCGCGCTCCTCTCTGACCCAGACTACACTTTGTACAATGCTCCTATCCTCTTTTTTTACCGAATAAAAATCTATGATATGATTGCTCATGGCGGATAGCTATCCGACTCAGTATCCACAGAACTCAGCCTCCTTTTCCACTGAGGCTTCCATCTAAATAATGATATTGATGGAGACTGCGTGTGCGGGAAAATTCTTAGAAGACCTGTAGGCCGAGCCACGCGAGGCGCGCATATCTATCTACATCTCCCTTTATCACATTAGAGGTGAACTTTTCATAATCCACCATGGCTACATAGGGTGCTGGATGCGCTCTAGAGTTCATCGGATGGCTTCTCTATGACCAAGGGTGGGTGATGAGTAGTACTTTGACCCCGTCATCCAATCTGATCGCGGCAAGCTTCATCATAATAGTGTTAGGGGTATACAGTGAAATAGAAGATGATACAGACAGTGAGAGCTAGAGGTTCGTAGGGAATACCGCTGACAGGTGTTAAGCTTTCACCTGCTTGTGGAATATCATCTCACCCTTAGTTGCTCTAATTGGCACACACGGGGCTTCGATCCCAAACTAAAGTAAACATCAACTCCCTACCATGGTTTACAAAATCTTCAACTCGTCCACCTTGCCCGCGATTTGATACGCCAAACAAGTCTAACCGCCAAGTCATTCAACCATTACGAAGTCGCTCCTGGGTCTTGATATGAGACTGAGAAACATGGTGCTTTAGAGACGTCGTAGGACACGGCCATGAGTCAATCATCACGTAGCGCCTTATAAATCTCAAGTTCGAAATGCGGCCAAGTCGAAGATTGTGGTCTTGGAGTACCCTCATGTCTCGCACGCATAAGCATTGCATAAACTCGGCGCACAGCTTGAACATATCCCTCGGTCCTTTCATCTACTCGCCTTACTATTCTGGGAATTTAACGATTGAGTCCTCGACCCCAGCCTTCTTTCACATCATCCAAAGCAACTCAGATAATCGCCAGATTCTCTCCTTGTTCTGTTTCTAGCAAAGGCCGATGTAATTGCACTCTCTATATCCCAACCTCGACAGCCACGAGTGGAGGCTAGACTCTCTTAAATACTGCCAATGAAGACTTTCAACTTCACTGAAGGGTTCCACATCGCGTACAGTCTGCTGCATTGGAGTTTGTAGACCGATGAGGTAGGTGACGACTTGAATTTGAATCAGAGGGTCCTTTTCCGCCCAAACCCCTCGGAATTGATGGTTGATAGGGACGTAAGAGTGTAGATAACAGGTGATTAGAGAAGGATAGACAGTAATACTCGCGAATGAAGCCTAATATCTCACTTATGATGACTACTGCTACATGGACCACAACCGATTGATAACATGCGATGCTGCTCCTTCTACTAGTAATTTCCAATCATGGCTCCGATCAAGGCGATAGAAAGCGACTTCACATTCCGAAATATAGCATCTGTGGAAGAATCCGTGTTAGGACAAAGAGTTATAATTCTCTCCACAGCCCGACTCCTTTCCCTTGCCCTATGGATTAGACTATGTGGAGCAACGATCAGCAGAGCTAGTGCCGCCCCACATTCTACGCCTTATCTTTCCATTAGTTTCATGTACAAGTTTCTTGGCAAAACAAACATCTTATTGACTAACATCTACCTTGATATAATTCCTCAGCAAGCCTACATTTAATCACAAGTCCCATGGATCTGAACAGTCAGAGACCCTGAGACTCTTCCAATCACTTCAAGAGTAATCAACTATCAGTACTAGGACAAAAAAAGGTGTCAGAACACTACCAATGGTCAATTCACAAGCTTGCGTGGGCTTACTCAATTCATTCCTATCTCTTCTCCCTATGGGAGGAATTCTATAAATACATTGTTGCCTTTTTCTAAACGCTATTCCCTGTAAGGAAAGGTCTCAACTCGACCCTTGTACATAACATTTTGTGAGCCAGTTCGCACAATAGGACTTTAATTATTACGCAATTATAGATTTGAAGAATTCAAAGCTCAAGAGTTACTATTGGCCTCTAGGGTCTCATTTAGTGGATGTTCCTCATATTGAATACAAGCTGCCAAACACAAACACCGGCGTGATTTTGAGTATCACCGAGGGCTCACAGCTGTATTGCATCTCAAATTGAAAAGCTACAAGTTTTTATTGAACAGTTGAGGTCGGCAAATTCGACACAGAATGGCGTAAATCTGGTCGGAATTTTAACATTGAGCTTCAAACGAGTATGGCTTGAACGTTCCATACCTTAAGATTATACACGATCTACATGTCGCTGGAGCACGTACTACTAGCCCCACAAATGACAAGAAAGTTGTTGTTTCA